GAGCTGGGCCGCACCGGCACCGAGCGCTCCCTCCGAGGGCTGGGGCACGCTGGAGGTTTCAGACCGCGCGTCCGCTTTTAATTGCGAGGGGTCTGGTGGCTGGGAGGCAGCCAGCGCTCCTGCCACGTCCTCTCCCGCGCTCACGGGGCGGATGCTGCCCGGCTTTTCCACACACACACACCCACCCCCCCGCCCGGCTTTTCCACACACACCCACCCCCCTTCCCCGCTCTGGGGAACCGCGATGCGCAGGGCCTGTTGGTGCCAGCCCCTCCGGCAGCGGAGGCTGACGAAGCCCCCGCGTTTCCAGCGGTAACGAGGCCCCGTTTCCACTCCCGCTTGCAGATGGTGGATTTGGGGCTTGGCAAGGAGCTCGGCTCGCTCTTCCCCCTCGGGTTTGGGACTGCCCGCGGCGGGGACAGGTACAGGCTGTCCCTCCCTCTTGCCACCCAGGCAGCTTTCACCATCCTGGCTTGTAGCGGGCAGAGCATCCTGGCGTGGGGCGCCCCCGGCACCCAGCCCCACGCGTGGCACCCTGGGGTGCTGAGTATGGCAGTGGGTGGCTCCCGGCCCCCAGGGGTGCACAGGGATGATGCCATCCATCTGGGGTGCTGCTGCTTTGCCTGGGGAGACAGTGCTGCTAATTAGCAGGTAATTATCCGTCGCCCCGCGGGGTGCTGGCCCTGGCAAAGACCCGCAGGACTCCGAGCCCCAGCTATGAGACGTCCTTTTCTGCCTGGCACGACCCCTCTGCTGCCACCGGCTCTGTGCAGACCCCTCGCCAGCCCGTCTGCGCTCGGCAGGGCGAGGGGTGCAGGTGGCCCCGGGTGCCACCAGCCTGTCCCTGCAGCAGGGGCTGGATCCAGAAGCTCTGACACCTGGGGAGGGGGGGGTCCCTGCCTCCCTCCTGGGGAGGGGGGGGGTCCCTGCCTCCCTGCAGCCTTTCCCCCCCGCCCCAGCCTTTCGCAGCCCTGGGTTTCACGCTCTGGCTGGGGAAGGAGCTGGGTCGGGGTCCAGGCAGCGCGTTGGCACGGCATTGGCGGCAATCGGCGCGGTGACACGAGGGCCAGGAGCTGCCGCAGTCAGCGGCAACCTCACACATTTCTGCTACGCACAAGTATTTCGGGGACACTGGCATCGTCGAGCCCCAGCACCCGGTGAGGCGTGTGCGCAGTGCATCATCCATACGTCTGTCTCTATATATATCCCTGCCTACTCTCCCATCCCTGCGTACAACGGTTTGTGGCCTCGCCGCAGCTGGGATCACGCTGCTATTTCCATCTGCTCCCGCTGGCTGCGGACACAAAGGAAGGGGCTTGGGGATCGCTGCGGCTCGGACCGGCTCCGTGCAACAGGAGCACCGGTATTTTCTTTTTGCTGCGTTCAAAGACGTAGCACGATAAAAGAAACCCGGCTCTGGTGTCACACAGCCCAGACAGCAGCCAGGCTCGGTGGCACCGATGCCGTTGGTGGCTTTTTACTGCCAAAAGCTCCAGGTTTGGCTCAGCTGGGCACAAACCAGGGCCTGAATGGGCACAAGCAGCAGCAGCCTGACCTCCGCCAGGACGCAGGAGCCGGCCAGGGGACAGCCTTGTCCCCTTCTGTTCTCCACTGCCACCGGCCACCTCCAACACAGCGTCTCAGCCCCTGAAAAGCAGATCCGGAGGGATGCTATCCTGGGCACAGAGGACACGGCTCTCCTGCCATCCCCGCGTTTGGAGTTTCTTTTATTTATTCAACACCAGTGTCCAGTGAATTATTTAACAGAGCCACTCGAGCCTTTGCGGTGCCAGCCAGCACCCCAGGCTCCCAGGCAGCCACGTGCCCCCTGCTTCACCAACAGGCATCTGCCCGGGACGTGGTCCCCTGCCTCTGCCC